AGTGGTTTGGTCACAACTAACTGCAAGGAGGGCTGGTTAACTGAGTCTAGCTGTGGGTCCAGGAAAAAGAGAAGAAAATAAATATTTCAGAGAGCAGCAAGCAGCTTAAGCTAAAATACACTTATTTTTGTCCTAGACAGTTTGGCTCAGCGGATAGAACATCAGCCTGCCAACTGGATCCTGGGTTTGATTCTGGTCAAGGGCATATGCCCAATAGGGGGTGTGCAGGAAGCAACCAATCAATGGTTCTCGTCATTGATGTTTCTATCTCTCTCTACCTCTCCCTTCCTCTCTGAAATCAATACAAATATATCTTAAAAATAAATAAATAAAATAAACTTATTTTCCTTTATATTTTTTGAATTGGAAATGTTCAATGTTACTTGGAGAACAATATAATAAGTCACATTAGCATTTGAAGAAAGGGAAGGGATGAAGCCAATGAAAGTTGGTCAGGAGGATTCCAGGACCCTTTGCATCATGATTTCCACAACCAATGTAACTCAAATCAAGTCCACTTCCTCGTCAGTGGATATGGGACTTATATAAAGGTTGTGTCCTTAAGTGAAAGATTAAGATTAAATTGAAGTGGAAACTTGGCACCACACTACACTGTTCAGTGGCCTGAGGAGCTGGAATTAATTTGAAGCAACTATTACTCATGCTGATTGTGTGTCACTTGGAACGGGTGGTGCTTATTGTGTCAGCAAAGCATCCATTGCATTCATTTTCCCTCCACTCCAAGGGTCAGTCCTCCTAGTTCTTTATTTGAGGTAACAGGCAACTGGCTACTCCATCAAGTGCTTATTGAGTGTCTATTCTGGGCTCGACACTGTCTGGTCCCCACCTTCTCTGCAGCAAAGGCAGCCCAGAGCTCCACTTCCCTGTGTCCTTTAGGGAGTGGGTGTGGCCATAAGAAGTTGGAGGTGATTATATTTCTGTCAGTGAATCATATTTTCCCATTTGCTTCCATTAGGATGTTAGCGATGCTTTTCTTGGAGTTGGAGGGTGGTGAGTCTTGCCTTAAAATATAAAGAAATTACATTTTAGAACACAGCAAATTTTAATCTCTCCAGAGTTAAAAGGGAGGGAAGCTGATTTTTCTCCTGACATACAAAAATGATTTTTTTCTGAAACTTAAAAGAGAAAAAAAATTAGAAATTCATTCTCTGGAGATCAGAACCCTTCTAACAATCTCCTTTAGTTTGTGCAAGCCAGCACCCACAGGGAAGATTAGATTTCTTCACATCGCCTATTTGTTGCTCTCTTCTCTGATTCTCTCCCTGGCATCATAAATATTCCTTTTCAACCCCCTAAATTTTTACTGTTTCCTTTGGGAGATATTTGAAAAGCAGTCCTCATTGCCATTTATTGTATTTAGTTTAAGTTCCATCTTTGAGTTCTTAATGTGTTAATGTGCCATTTAAAGAAATACATTTCTCTCCTCTGGTCAGGGAAGGTTGAACTTTCTTCATCGTAAATGGATTTATTTGATTAATTTTATAATTTAGAATCTTTGTTGGTCTAGATTCCAAAAGGAGGAGTTCCTTTAAGCTCACTGCAACTACATTTGCTTTTGAAGGAGCCCTTTATTTTGCAGTGAATAAAGTGTCTCTTATTAAACAGAATAGAAAAGAATGTTTGGCAGGACTCGACTCCCAATGGGTGAAACATCACAGGAAATTGAGAAATTGTTTCTTTTTGGCCTTGTGGGAAAGTTTTGCTGGTGAAATTTAGTATTAAGGCTTTAAGACTACTGCTTAAATCCATCAAGAAAGAGCTGTCAGACCAGGGACAGCTTCTGAGGTGGGGGAGGGGGGAAGAGGTACCAATGTGACTCTGATAATCTGGTCTTAAATTTTCCAAGTACTCTGAGATACGGGCAAGAAGATTGTATTCTGTCTTACATAATAATTGTGCTACTGTTAAAGAGAACTTAGAAATCTTTTAGCAATTTAGGAATAAGTTTGTCAAAAGTTAATCTCAGCTGGAAGCCCTTTCCTTTGTTCCTGCAAAACAGGGTGTTTATGCGCCCAAACAAGAAATACATGTAGCTTCTGCCCACCCATGAAACCATGGGTTCTTGATCTTGGGCAATTCTACTTTGGGTATTAGATATGTGTTCTGAGGTCCCAACACCAGTCCTCACGTAGGCGCCTCTTTTGGGATTTGTGCCCCACACCTATGCTGTCAGTGTAACACCATAACCCTCTTTGGAGACATGTGAGCAGCATCACCATATGTTTCAATGTTCAAACCCCTAACCTTCATTATTCACTTCCCATACTCCCCTCAATTTGCAGTCAATCACCATGTCCTGTTGGTCCCCCTAAATATGCCTGATAGCCATCCCTTCTTTTCCCAGAACCTGGTTCATGCCAGTTCACTCGTGCCTTGATTTCTCTAGAAGCTTCCTTACCAGTCTCTGGCCCTCAGTTTTTCCCTCTCATAATCTTGTTTGCACCCTGTAGCCAAAATGACTTTTCTAAAACTAATCTTGATCATGTTACTGCCTAGCCTAAGATTTCTTTTTGCAGGGGGTGAGCGTAGGGGGGACTACCTATAAAATTTAACCTCTTGGCTTGGCCCTTATTTTGTTTCTCAGTTTCCTTTACTTTCCAGCCCCTTCAGCCCCTTGACACAGGCAGGACTGCCCATGCTGGACGTGACTGGACTCCTTACACCGACAATGCCCCCTCTGCTTTCCCCATTCAGGGCTAATTCTAACCTGTTGTCCAGAAGCCAAAATCATGTTTCTCTCTTAACAGAATATCCACCCCTGCCCCAATTGGATAGTTATTCCTCCTGAGTCTCATACACCCTGGACATACTTCTAGGGTAGCTGATCTTTGATTGTAAGCTCCTAGGGGGGAAGCCACACAGCCCGTTTCTGTTGAATAAATAAATGAGAATAAATGACTACCTATAGTGCTTTTTATATATAAAATTGAATCTTGATTATAGTGTTGTAAACTTTGGCTAATTTTGGCTATTTTTGGAAAGGCAGCTATGAATGAAAAAAAAAGTCTAAACCGGATTTGGCATCAGAAGGCTGGGTCACTATGAGCTGTGACCTTTGCTAAATCTATCAGCCTCTCTGAGTCTCAATTCCTTGTTACTGAACAGAGGATAATATATTAAAGAAAGGGCTTGTCTGGGGTGTGTGTGGGGTAGGGGGCAGCACTTGGTGAGTTATAATGACTACACAAGTGTTATCTGCCTTATTCTGATTATTTCCATATCTGCAGTCCTTACTGCACCCATGCCAAACACCAGCCCAGAAGACAAAGTGTGAATGGTTTCATGTGGTACAGGTCAGGGGTGAGTATTTGCCAGGTCTCTGTTCAGTTAGGTGGACACATGCCAATGGCAAGGACAAAAGTAGGAAATGGTTCCCCCTTAGCTTTCCCATTGGAAATATACTCTTACCTTCTCATATATTATTGGTAACACTAAGATCTAGATGTGGCGGGAAAGCAATTTGATGACATGTGTTGAGAAACTCAACAATAGTTACCCCTTTGACCCAATAATTCCATTTCTAAGATTTACCTTGAAGGAATGATTTTTGAAAATGGAGATGGGAACACCTAAAATGGGTAAAGATGTTCCTTGCAGTTGTGTTTATCATAGTTAATGATCGAAAATAATCTGGCCTATAAATCAGTGGGGGACCGCTGTGCCATTGTCCTTCAGTGGGTATTCTGTAAGATAGAAACATGATTTTGATAAAATGCTCAGGTGAAAAAAGCAATCTTAAAAATTCAATCTACGGTTTAATGAAGATTATGTAAATCAAACAAATAGAGGAAAATGCACCCTGATTCCTGATTCGATAGGGATTCTTCATAGTTAAGAAATCCACATGCTCAGCCCTGCCTCCCTAGACCAAGGACCCCGTGAATGAGGTCCACTGTCCTCTGTGCAAAGGAGTCTTTATTTGGCATTGGATGGAGGCCAGACCTTTCATCCCGTCTTCTAAAACCTGGAAGAAAGCATTCAGAGGAATATCAATCAGAAGTAAAAACCGGCTTAGAGTTTGAAGAGCTGAAGTTCTGAAATACCAGGGAAGGAAGGGCTAAATATACTTGAAAAAAAATAGTAATCATGACACAACTTTGGAAGGCATTTTTGAGTGTGCAAAGAGTTTTACATACATTGCCTCATCTAAGTCGGCTCTTCTTCTACATAGTTCTTTATCCTAATCCTTATCAAAAGTCACCACAGATCTAAACAGCTGAGTGACACCGTTGCTTACTTGGGCTCCATTCCTTTATTGGCTTTGATCCAAGGATTTCCCGCTGTGCAGAATTCACTTTGAACCCAGTGCAAATTACCTAGAAGAGAACAGTCAAGCCCAGGAAGTAAACAGCCATTTCACTGTAGTTTTATTCACTGGAGGACCTGCAAACATTTGGCAGACCTTTCCTTACACGTACCAGTGGAAACTTGTATTGTAAGAGGCATGGATCTGCCATGAGCTACCCACCGTCACACAGCAAGTCAGTCATGGAATCCTTGTAGAATCGATTCCCTTTTTTTTCCTCTTGAATCCCCATCCAGCCCAAGTGTCCGTTCTCCTATGGGACATCTTAGCTGTCTTAGCTCCAGAGAAGATCTGCTTTCCCTTCTTATTTTCTCACACAGCTGAGGATCAGCACTCTCGTGCATTTCTCAGATGCGTTGTGTATTTCCACCCAGCCACTCTTCTGTTCCACTCCATACTTTGGGAGGAAACTGCTCAGAACTTTTAACCCTGGGTTTTGGTTCTTTTTCTTGAAGATTGGTTGCTGTCCCTTATCTGACTTGAACTTCCATGTTCTCAGGATGAGAAATAGATCTTTACACAAAAATCCGAGGGTTGGGAGTTTGAGAGGAAGCTTCGGTCCTCAATGGAACTTTGAGAGGGCGTTGGAGTTATTTCACTAAGGACAGTGCTGAACACCTCTGGTTTACGCTTCTCTTTCGACGTTTATTTTATGTTCTGTTGTGGTTTTCAGATTTCTCATGGTTTGGATTTGGGAATGTAAAATCAAGACAAGGTGTTGGTAAGTAGTTACTTCTTCTTTGGATAAATAATGAGCTTGTGTTTAATTCAGATGAAACTGTTGAGACTCTTCATACTTGTTGGCCTTTGATTCATTTTTTCATGTTCCCAGTTTCTGACTTGCTGAAGAAGGAGGCCTAGAATTTTTTTTTTTTCCAGAAAAGGCATTACTGCTGCTCATTGAGTTTCAGTAAATGGTTCTGTGTTCTTGAAGTTGACTTGTTTTTACCCTCCGGGGATGTGTCAACTGTCATCCAGTTCTAGGCTGTTGATGCATTTCTAAGAAGATTAAAGAAATAAAATACAACTGGACTGCAGCTCCATGCCCAGCAGAGCTGGCTGAATATTCATGCCTGGAAAGTGTGGGCCTTAACTTTCTCTCATTGGCCACGATGTAATAAATTTCTGCATTGGTAAATCAGCTGTTTGTTTATGACCATTTCTCATTCAAGACAAGGCTAACATCTAGACACTATGATTTGTGCTTGATTGCATTCGATTCCTTGCAATTGTGTTGACAATTGAAGAGCAGAGCTTATAGCTATCAAATGAGTGCAGATAATGTATCTCATCGCTAGGATTGAAATCAGGTGTGATCTCCCGGGACCTCCAATTTGTTTAGTATTTTCTATGCGTACAGAGACAATGAAGAGGAATTGCTAAGAAGGCATGAAAAGACAGACTTCCTTCCATTTTGCATATGCTTTTCCAGGATTTAGCCATCTTGGGCATCTGTTGGTTAATATTTATTTTGGTTGCAAGGTTGGCTATAGGCAAAATTGCAAAGTAAACCAGTATCATGGAGCCTTCCAGTTGTGAGCCCTCCCTGTCCATATGAGGAATCCTGTTCATTTCCCTTTTTGAACTTGATATCAATCAGTCTGCCCTTAACTAGCCCTATGAATTCCAAGGGAAGAGTTCTCAACCAGCAAAGGGAAAGTGGAGATGTGGTCAAGTTGGAACATTAAACTCAACCACCTCAGGATTTGTCGGCAACTCCCCAGAGCACACTTCAGATACAACTGATCATAGGCATTTTGAGAAACCAGAGAGAATCCTGGGCAGTATGGCAGGTGGCCTGTTTGATGGCTTGTGTTGTGTATGTGTGTGTGTTGGGGGGAAGGGGAGCAGGAGGAGTTGGGTGATAAACTCTCCCACAACAGTGCTGTGGGATGGGGCCTTCCCTCCACTAAATAGCAAATCACTCTAACACTTAAACATTTTTCAGGCCAGTTCACCCTGCAGGGAGGTGCTGGTTCCTCAAAAGCTCCAATAACAGGATTTCACCCTTTTAGGCTACAAGCAGAAAGAATTCTTCAGAATTGTTCTTTCAGCTACAGTTTGTCAGAGGCGCTGCTGCTTTAAAATGTTGGTTTTGTTATTATTCAGGGATGGTGAGGCCAATAGGTCAGGAGACGACGGCCATTGATGCAAAGATAATTCATTATTCACAGTTCCCCAGAGAAGAGGGCACACCATGTGGAAGGAGGACCTCAGGGAGAAGCCCCTGAGTCCATCAGGAGGCAGAAGGAGTGAGGGGAAAACAGAAACAAGAGCCTTTATTGTGGTTTCCTCGGGAAGGACTGGGTGAGGCTGGGGTAGCAGGTTTAGGATTGGAAGGTTTGAGGAGCTTCAGTGGGTTCTGGGGTGTAGGAGCTGTCCCTGGTTGTCTGATACCTGGCTCAGGGGTAATGGGACACATGGATAATGGCCTGGAGTATGATAACTTGAAAAGGGATGTGGTTGGGGTGTAGATTACAGATTAGTTGGTTTGTATATGAAAGGCTCACTCAGAGGCAAGTTCCTTACTACTTGAGGATGACACAGGACAGTCCCTCAGTATCATCAAGCCCAAGATTGAAGCATGAGAATACAGCAAACACAAGACACGCTTATACAGCTGCTCAAGAACAGTGATCTCTCCCCTTGCCCTGAAGGCATTGTTGGTCCTTCCCCAGACGACCTTCATGGATTCTTATCTCAAGAAAATAAGTCTAAGTTAGGCTCAGAGAGGCCTGTAAAGTCATAGATGTAGAGACCTTACCCAGAAGCTCTGATAAAAGAAAAAATGGCTCTTTGAGCTGGAGACATATTAAAAGAAAAATAGGTTAAAAATGTTTCCAGGCATAAGTCATATTTGTCAGCTCAGTAATTAGAACTCTCTACCCAAACTCAGCAAATTGCACACACCCAGCAACTTAAAACTTTTTATTAATTTTATAAGAAATTTTTTCAAGTCCTCATATGAATTTCTTATAACACTGTGATGTGCCCCTGACTCTTCTGTCTGTCTTTTCATTGTATCTCCCCAACCACGTGCAGATACACACAATGACACATCGTGTGACATGCACAGACAGGCGCCTGTCAAATTATATAGACATTCATTGTCCCTGTTGAGAGCATTTCCCCCCTTCCCAACTTTGCTGAGCTCTATTAGATCAAAATGTTCCTAGAAAAATGGGCTGAATTCCTGCAGCCTTGCCAGCCGCATCAATCTTCCAGACTTTGGAGCATCAACAATGAAGAACACAGCACTGGAATTAATATTCCAATTGATAAATGGTTGAGGTTTGTGTATCAGTCAGATTTGTCAACAGCCACCTCCTGGCAAAGTGAAAAGGCTTTTGAAAAATCACCTCTGGTCTTTTATACCCCCCATATGCTTAAAAATCCACCAGTATCATCATCACCCTGCAAAAAAAAAAAAAAAAAAAAAAAAAAGCCCATTTTCTTTCAATTTGTTACTTCAGAGTCTGGTGTTTTACTCAGGTCAGGGAAGGAAACAGTGCCCTTTGGTGGAGGAAGGGACACAAAGAGCAAGTCTCTGGGTTGAGCTCTTTAAGTTAGAGCCCCACTGTGTCCATGGCAGATGATTCAGAGCTCAGATTCCTGGAGGCATCTCGACATTGTCTTCTAGGTATCTACCTCCTCCAAAATGATGAGATGCTATAGGAATGTTGGTAGTCTGACTTGGGCCACAAGAATCAATGACAAAGGCAACTGGGATCAGATGTTTCTACTCCTTGCAGGGGCTCCAGAAGCAAATATCACTGGCCTTCTGACAGCATGTGGAGTACCTGAACATGACAATTCCTGTATTGCTGAGGGTAAATGGGCAGCCCGGAATCTGTTGAGAAATGTGTGACCCTGCCTGCTCAGGGAGCTCAGGCAGTAGACTATTTGGGTCATTCCAAAGAGGGGACAGCTGCACCAGGAACAGAGTGATGGAGCCAGCGGGGACACGAGGCAGAAACCTTAGCACAACACATTTCTATTTTCCATCTCTGGATTTAAGCTCTGGGTGATCTAGGTCTGCCAGAAAGCAAATAGTGAAACAGAGATGGTTAAGGATGTTAGAAAGAACTTGTCTTTATTCTTGGCAGAATTTCCGCACTTTGCTAATGCTGGTGAGCTAGGCACAAGAGGAGTGCAACTGGGGAGATTGCCTTTTCTTTGAGTGTTCTGTGGCTTCTAAATTGGCTGTGTGAGGACTTGTTTGCAGAATTAAGCCAGAGTGTATTATGAAAGGCATCTCAAATGAACATCCCCTTGAGAGAATGCTTTAAAAAATTACCTATAATAGCAGTTGGCTGCCTCCTGCATAGTTGTTTAAGATTCAGCTAGCTGGGGAATGTCCAATTGCTATCACTACATACTGTGATAATCCCCATACGAAGGGGAAAATGGTTCTTGAATTGGGAGATGGATTACAATGATATTTCAGAGGGGATTTAAAAATGTATGACCCAACAGCTTTTGTTTTCAGAATTGTGGTGCTTCTCATTGCAATAGTCAAGTGTGAGGGAAGAGGTAAAGAATGGATGGAGATGTTGAAACATGCATCCTGGAGGTTGGATGAATATACATTCTCTTGCTATGAAAGTAGTGATTCAGACTTTCCTTTCCTTAGTATGCATTTGTCTTGACTGCCTTTCCTTTGTCTTTCTTTCTATCCTTTTCTTCCTGTCTTCCTCCTGGCTTATTCTAGTAGTCCTGGCCAGTGGTTGCTTCCCGTGGGACCCTGCACCTAGTTAGTTCGCTGCAAAAACACATGTCATAAATATACTAGAGGCCTGGTACACAGATTCGTGCACTAGTGGGGTCCCTCAACCTGGCTTGCACCCTCTCACATTCCAGGACCCCTCGCGGGATGCTGGAGAGCTGGTTTTGGGTTGATCCCTGCAGGCCAGGCTAAGGGATCCCACGGGGTACACGAATCCGTCCACTAGGCCTCTAGTATGCATATAAAATCTTTGGTTAATCTCTTTCTGCCCTCCCCCCTTCCCCCTTCTCTCTGAGATTCATCAGTCTGTTCCATGTTTTCATGCCTGTAGTTTCCGCTTCTGCGTTGAACATCTTCCCCCTGGTGGACAGTGCACTTTATAGCTACTGGCCAGTCGGCCGGTTGGCCAGTTGCTTAGGCTTTTATATATATAGATAGATGTCTAGGGGGCTTTGTCTACTTTTCATGTTTGGGTGTCTACCATGAGCCACCGATATCTTAATTGTTTTGAAGCTTTCATATAGACCTTTGTCTTTGTGAATTTATTTTTGGTTGAATCTAAACACTGTGGGTTTAATGGTCAATGGATTAATGATTTAGATAAGACACAGTAGACTGTATTTATGGACATATACATTGTGAGACTCTGGGCTAGAAAGTTAAAGTGTCATATGAAAAATGCTATGGTTATTACTTTAGCATAAAGACATCCATGGAATGACTATAAATAAACTAGTGGCCTGGTGCACAAAATTCATGCGGGGGGGGGGGTGTTCCTCAGCCTGGCCAGCACCCTCTCCAATCTGGGACCCCTCGGGGGATGTCCAACTGCCGGTTTAGGCCCGATCCCACAGGGATCGTCAGTCAGACATCCCTCTTGCAATCTGGGACTGCTGGCTCCTAACTGCTCACCTGCCTGCCTGCCTGATTGCCCCTAACCACTCTGCCTGCTGGCCTACTCGCCCCCAACTGCCCCTCCCCCGCCAGCTTGATAACCCCAACTGGCCCCCTGCCAGCCTGATCACCCCCAATGGCCCCCCCCAATGGCCTGATCACCCACAACTGCCCTCCCCTCTTGGCCCCTAACCCCCTCTACCTCGGCCCTGCCACCATGGCTTTCTCCAGAAGAAGAACATCTGGAAGTTCTCCCAGTCTAATTAGCATATTACCCTTTTATTAGTATAGATAGAGGCCTGGTACATGGGTGGGGGCCTGCTGGTTTCCCCTGAAGGGTGTCCTGGATTAGGGTGGGGCTTCCCTTGGGGGTTTGGTCAGTCTGGGCGAGGGGCCTGTGGTGGTTTGCAGGCTGGCCACACCCCCATTGGGGTGGAGGTCCCCACTGGAGATGGAGCTGGCCTGGGGGAGGGGCTGGGGCAGTTTTCAGGCCAGCCACACCCCCATGGGGTGAGGGTCCCCACTCGGGGTCATGGCCAGCCTGGGTGAGGTCCCCCAGCAGGGACCCTCAGCCCATGGGGGCATAGCCAGCCTGGGTGAGGGGCTGAGGGCCATTTGCAGGCCCCTCCCTCAGAGGCCAACCCAGGCAACCCAAGCCTCCCACGTGCTCAAGCCGGCTTTGTGGCCACCGCCCACAGGCCCCTCCTTCAGCGGCCGGCCAGGGCAGGCAGGAAGCCTGGCTTCCTCCATCGCTGGGGGTGACCCAAACCTCCCACCTGCTCTGGCTGGCTCTGTGGCCACAACCATCTTGTCCTGCTAATTTGCATATTCCCTCCTGATTGGCTATGGGGTATTTGTGGAGGTGCGGTCAATTTACATATTTGTCTATTATTAGTGTAGATAATATTATGACTAAAGGCAAAGCAGGTAAATTGCTGTGAGAGTGAGCCATTATTTTATAGGCAAAAGTGACGCAGCTACAGACAGAACACACAGAGAGAGGAACAGAGTAATAGGACAGTTCAATGTAATTCTAGTCCACCAGTTGTAACTTCATTTAGTAAGACCTAGTAGCAGTTCATACTCATGACACACATTTAAATTTATAGTGCATTTTCCTATCAGTGGTTTTATAAAATAGCAAGCAGGCATCATTTTGCACATGTTACAAAGGTAAGTGGTTGCAGAGGTACAAAGAAAGTAAGTAACTTGTCCTAAGAGTGGAGAAAGGAACTCAGATCTTTGAGCTCCTTGTATATATTTCAGTACACTGTGAAACAGGATCTTAAATTGATGCTGGGAGTTTCAATGAGCCAGTGTTCTAAAGATGGATGTTCAGAGAACAGAGAGGAAGGCTGCATATTAAATTACAGAAGAAGGAAGTCCAGGAATCTGAACACTCATATGTTGCTGGTGGGAATATAAAATAGTGCAGCCACTTTGGAAAACTGTTTGGCAGTTCCTCAAAAAGTTAAACAGGGAGCTACCATATGACCCAGCGAGTTCACCCAAGAGAAATGAAAATGTATGTCTACACAAAATCTTGTATATAAATGCTCATTGCAGCATTATTCACAACAGCCCCAAAGTTAAAACAACTCTAAGTGTCTATCAATTGGTGAATGAATCAACAAAATGTGACATATCCATACAATGAAATATTATTTGGCAACAAAAAGGGAATATAATAATGACACATGCTATAAGTGAATGGACCTTAAAAACATTATGCTAAGTAAAAAAAAAAATTGTCCTAAAAAATCACAAATTATGATTTCATTTACATGAAATTTTCAGAATAGGTAAGTTCATAGAGATAGAAAGTAAGTTTATGGATGTCTGGGGCTGGAAGTGGAGCGAATGGGGAATGACAGCTATTTGGAATGATGAAAATGTCCTAAAATTAGATTGTAGTGATAGTTGCAACACTCTTTGAATATCTTAAAACCCACTGAAGTGTACATTTTAAATGGGTGAATTTTATGTATGTGAGTTACAACTCAACAAATACATTAAAAATTACAGGAGAATGTGTATTTTTTCCAACTCCAGGCCCAGCTTCAGTTATCAGCAATGATGATGACTCTGCTAGCCCACTCCACCACATCTCCAATGGGAGTAATACTCCATCATCTTCAGAGGGCGGCCCTGATGCTGTCATTATTGGAATGACGAAGATCCCTGTTATTGAAAATCCCCAGTACTTTGGCATCACCAACAGTCAGCTCAAGCCAGACACATGTAAGTACATCTGTTTATACTTATTGGCCCATTTGTTGCATAGCTGTATCTATAAGCGTGTTTATCAGAATCCTTGACAAGGATGACTTGGGGGAGGAAGGCTGTGAAATGTCTGAGTCTTCTTGGGGCTTTGGGACCACAGAATAGATTCTTTAGTTTGTTTCTTATGGAATTCACAGGGCGTGTCTTCTGCTGGGCTTAGAACTGTGGGCAATTTCTGGCTTCTCTTGGGATCTATTTTCAAAAACCATTTGTCAAAAGGAAGTTGGAATCAAGGCATACTTATCTTGAAAAAGAGAAAGAAACCAGAAGTATCATTAGAATGAACATATATCAGGCAATTGATAGGATTTAAATTTGGTTTATTAAAAATCATTAAAATATACATTATAAGGTCATCATGAGGAGCTATGTTGCACACAGGTGGTATCAATTCTGGTAGTTCTGTATAATTTGTTCAGTCTTAGTTCTCAGCATGAAGCTTCTTGTGATGTCATGATAGCAAAGAGACATGTTAAATAATCTGACATATTTTTTAGAACCAAATGAACCTAATAGCCTCTATTGAAAGCTTACAGTTTTTTTCCCCAAGACTCTTACTCTATTTTTTGAGACATTGCCCAAATACAAAAAATAATGGAGCACAGACTTAAGGACAACAAAGAATAAAATCACAAGGGACAAACGGGTCTTATGCCATTGGAACTCCAGACCTTCCCTTACACATGAATAAGGGGATATAAAGGTAGAACATTAGGTGACCCAGGTTCCAGGAGTTCCCTGGCACTGAATAATGGATATATTCTATTTGCATGTTCTCACCCCACCTTAAATGCTTTTATCCTGAGAGGTAAGGTGGGACTCTTAGAAGGTTAGTATTTGGGGACTTACTTTCCACTACGACTATCATGGGATAAGGAGGCTTAACAATGAGTATCAGATCTGTTCACATATGAGGAAACACCTATTATTGCCTCCTATTTACTCAAATTTATCCCAAGGTATGTTTAACAGTGGATTCAAGTTTCATTTTTAAGAAGAACAGAATTATAAGCTTGTAAATACGTGAGATTGGACCCCACCATAGATTTCAGTTGAATATGTAATATGACAAGATAAATAGAATTGCAGATGTGAAGAATATTGAGCTTCTTGAAATAAAATTATTAATTGAAATCAAGGTATTTCTAATTCTAACATTGTCATTATGGTATGAACAAGATGTGTGGAGGTATTGCTTAAAAATGTGCATTTTTTGTTGAGATAATTATCCTCCATAGGTCCTTGAAACATCCTGCATGCATTGCAGTCAAATGTTGAATAAGGCAAAGCCGGGTATTATGGTGAGAGAATCTGTCATCATTTTGATTGTTCTCCCTAGGAACAGAGTACTTTGACACTCCTGTCACCATCAATATCAGGCTGTATAACATACTTCATTTAGCCTGAGGCTGTATTATAATTGAGGTTGACTAAAATCAACCTGTTCCAAAAGTTTGCTCTCCTTTGTCGATAGTGGAAAAATAAAGCAGATAAAGCTGAATAATAAAGTATTTAGCATCAGTTCAATAAGTCCAATAAGAGAAAATTAACAAATAAGCAAGCAAAGAAATAAACAAACAAACGAATGAGATCCTATAGAAGAAAGTGGATTAGATGGCTGCTGGGTCTATGGTTCTATCTAGAAGTGCTTTCTTACCCTAGAAATCCACAATAAAGTTTCCAAAGGTCATTTCTTTAACCTAGAGTCTATGGAGATTTTTGCAAAGGTTTTAAACTAGACATTTTTATTATTTTGGAGGAGTCTTGGTTTTGTGGTTTAGTCATTGTACACCACCTGCATTTGGAAGAGAGTTGAGGAGACCTGTGGTCTCCCCTTAGCTTCTGTCCTCTACCAGAGGGATCCAGACCATTGATTCTTAATTTGATAGTCCATTCCTTGGAAAGTCTTTCTGGACCCTTCACCCAGCCATCCTTACTCAGCTCAGTATTTCCAGTCACTCAGAAATGTTTTTTCCTCTAGGCTTCAAGCCATACACTATTTCATGATTTGAAGAACACTTAAAATCATACATCTTCTATGAATCATTTTTCAAAGAAATGGGAATGAAGAAGCAAATTACTTCTCTCCTTATCTTCACCCTTTTTAAAAAGTCATTCTTTACCCCATATTTTTTACCTTTATCTTTAATGTATCTGTTGCATTTTGTTAAGAATATAACCACTCTCATGTATGTGTTTCTGTCTTGTTTATGTTAGATTGTAAGCTCCTCGAGAGCAGAAACAATATCTTGAATTATTCCTTCATATCATGGGACATGATACACTTTTGATGTTGGCCAAATGTTGACCAGATATGGATATATATTACTGAAATATTAATTACTAACAGACTTGTAACAAGTAAAGATGACCCATAGCCTTCTTCATTGGCTCTATTCCTATTACACTTGCCTACATAATAGTTTACTTGTTAGACATGTTTTTAATAATATATTATCCAATTTAAACAGATTTAGATGACAATTTTAGCAAGAATAATCTTTTTCCAAAAACCCTGATTTTTGAACATCCTAATAGCAGTCATCCAGAAATTAAAATATTATAAGATGCATAAATCTGCTATACAGAGGGATCTGTTGCTCTAGGCCCATACAATTTTGGGAGATTAGCTTTCAATTAAGTGGTTCCCATGGAGCATTTTTCCCCCCCATGGAACATTTTTATACCTAACCTCTAAAAAACCATTAGAGAAGGGATCTTTCAAGAAGTTTGCTGAGCAACAAATTTAATATCATCTCAGATAAAGTTAAGAACTTTTCCCAAGTGCGTAAAGCAAAATGTCATATGGATGATATACCACCAACTTCTGGACCTATTAGTGTCTTGGGCCATAAGCCAGCATATTTACTTCTCTTTCCTGAATCTACCTGCTACTTAACGATGTTGGCTTTCAAATATATGTGTGATCTTACAAAGAAAGAGTGGTTCCAATCTTATTTTACTGAATTGTAAGAATCTCATATAGAAGGTGAATTTCAATCCATTAAATATATATTAACTATCCATAATACTCCTACAGTTCCAGGAACTGCAGATTTAGTGGTGATAATGGCATGTTCCTTGCCTTCAGAGAGTCTTGTTAGGGAGGCCAATGGTTAAAGATTTCATCATATAATTACAATGCACTATAATAGAATAGCTTAGAGCTAGGGTCCTAAACTCTAATTACCTACAAGATTATGCAGGTCAATATGGAAACAGGCAAGATCAGAAAGATGAGATGGTACTGTGAAGGCTATGCTTAAACATGACCTGATACTCAATTTTTTCCAGCAAGAACAGGCACTTATTAAAATATTTTATTGTGAATTTCCCCAAATTTAAAACACTGGGCGAGAACAATAAATGACACCAGGTTGAGTCAGATTTGATCACATAATCCACCACTTGTCTGTGACCCCTGAGTTAGACCTTAATGATCATTTAATACAAATACTTTATTCTACAGATGATGCTTAGAAGTCACTTTTCCAAAATTACTCAGCCTCCATACTTATATAATTTTGCATTAAAAACAAACGAACAAGAACAACAACAACAAATCCCAAACAAAAGCAGTCTGCTTTAAATGATATGTAAGATCATTTAAGTGAAGAATGTTAATAAATTATATCCCCCAAAGTACTTTTTACTATCAGGAGCTATGTCAGGCTTTCATTTACCAAATCTAGAGATGGTTTGCAGGATTTTAGAGCAATCTGAACAGGGCTGAATTGCTCCTGAGCACTTTCCAATAGCAAGTCTGTCTACTTTATTGCAGGGCCCAGAGGTTCCCCCAAGACCGCCTGATAATAATTTGGTATTTGGAGGCTCCTGTGTCACTGCAGGAACTAAAGGAGGCTAAATCCATGCCTGATGGAGGAGAAGAGTTCTATGGTTATCTGCAAATTCTGGCCAGAAAACATCTTGACGTCACTCCTTAGCTTCCATACCCTAGCCAAGCAAGAAGTTACCTTCCAAAGAGAAAGCAGTGTGCTCTAATGACTAAGCCCTCAAAGTGCTATGCCACTTTAACTATAGACCCATCTCCTCGATCAATCAGGATGGCAAGATGGAGCTGAGGAGCTCAGCACATCAAGTCTGGAGTTGGTCTTTAATTCAACTAGTCTGTATAGACGTGTCTAAAACCACATCATCTGACAGCATGGAGTGGTTTCCCAGTAGGATTTACAAACTTGACTCAAGGGCAGCTGTGCTGCTATCCTGTCCTTGACTGCTGAGAAAATTTTTGCTAGGCAGGATACAAAGGGAGCTGAAAAAAAATAATGTAAGGGTGAAATAAAAAAATAAAAAAAACACTAGCCAGCAAAACCCCCAAGTCATAAATCTTGGGTTCTCTTGAAGAGTGGGAATGTGTTATAGCTTCCCCTGCAGGAAAATCAAATGCCATAGACTATTGTCATTCCTAAAATTGTGTCTTTCCTAGAGAAGCCTTGTAAATTAGCTAGGGTCCTAGGCCTGGGGCCTAAATTAAATGAGAATTGTCCCCAAATATGTACTGTATGTGTTCTCACAGAGCATGCCCTCTATGTATCTAGGGCTAGTAACTCCTTGTGACAGATGCATATAAAGAACTCTGATATTTGTTCCTTTTGGTTCCATTTCCAATGAAATGGATCTTTATTGATTTCCTACAGAATGTGCCATATTTTTCCAGGTATTATAGTGTGCGAGTGTGTGTGTGTGTGTGCTCACGCGTGTGTGTTTTCCTATTGGTTATATGCTTATTAGGCAATTATGTAGATAAGCACAGATTCATAGACCAGCTAAGAATAAGGAAATAAAAGGTTATAAAGGCAGGGAGTGTTTTAATAGTCGTTGAAAAGATCACATGGGGCACCCTCCTCTTCCCTTAATGTCATACCCATACCAACAAAGGGAGAAAAAGGAGGTGATATTTTTTCACAGAACTTCAGAGGTTTGAACACATTTGCAAT